CCTCTAGGTATGTTTATAAAGTCAGATCTATCGTGTATCATGGCACAGTTTATTCCACCTTTGAATGTTTTCAAAGTTCTGTTTCTTTAAAACCAAAACAAACCCTACCCCCTCTCTAAAATTGCCAAACCCTGTGAATATAGCTGTGTCACTTGAAATGAAAATGTGTAACCGCAGTGGCAGAGAGCAAAGAACCCAGAGAAGGGGCACAGCTGGTGGGTGTGTTCCCCGCAGGCACCGAGCTTGTTCTTCCTCCCAGTCCCTGGGCACAGTGGGGCTGGGAAGCAGCCCCTGAGGACATGCTAAATGCCACTCAAGTCTGATATGGTTGGTGCCCAGAATATGAAATGAAACAGGCTTGAAATGGGTAAAATAAAGGGCTTAATTCTTCATGATTACTTAGCATTGGGAGAGTAGAAAGGTATTGAACACCAGCTATGTTCTTTCATTCACTACAAAAATAGCAAGGAAGGGAGTGAATAGCAGTAAAAGGTCTAATTTACCATTAAACTATAGCTTAAACAAGAATCTTTTCCTTCCTGCCTCAAGATCATTCCTGACCTTCTTCTGCCTCCTCTGCTCTTCTCTGCCCTGCCCTGCACATAGTGGCTGGCAGGCGATGCCCTGTTGCTGCTTCTCTGTTGCGAAACCAGATTAGACTCCGCAGTCCCCTTCCTTCTGCTACCTGGGGCTGTTCTCACAAGAAACTCTTGAATAACCTTTGCGAGAGGCAAAAGTGTAGATGTGTTAACTTAAGTAGGTCGTGAAATAGCCACAGCGAGGTGGAGGAGCTGTGTGACTCACGTGGCACGTGTGTGACGGTGTCCTGCCCTTCTGAAACGTGACATCTCTGGGGTGGAGCCATGATACGGAGTCTTTCCCCTGGAGCACTGAGAAAAGCTGGTCCTTTGGCTGCTGGTTGGTGCAACATGACTTTTGGCAAAAATGCATTGTTTCCAGAGCCCATTTTTGTACAGCATTTGGGTAAGGGTCAAACAAGTGACTGTGGGATGAGAGACCAACGGATTTACTTCTGCAGTTTTTGAGGCTGATGAAAGTCAAAGTTTTACCAAACCAAAGCAGGGAGCCTGACTTGAAAGCCAAGGGCCAGAAAGGCAGTAGTATGAAGTGTTTGTCATGGTAAAAAAATGTCAGCAGACGGAAGTGAAACAAGGAGTTTTGAAGCAAATAAAGCTGCTGGCAGACTGCTGCTGAGGTTTCTGATGGGCAGGGCTGCAGATGCTGCAGCCTTCCAGCATCTTTGAGGACCAGGAGTGCTTGGTGTCAGCCCCTGTCCCTGACTGGTACATGCAATGCCCACACAGGACAGCTCAGCCTCTTGCGAGTGACTTGATGACCCTTCTGAGCCTTTATTCAGAAACTAAGAGACATAGGAATGCTTCTTTCTCAAGCTAAAGATAATGAGCCACCCTGATTTTCACTTCCCCAGAAGTGCTCTCTTCTTCTGTCTTTCATGAAAGCATCTCTGAAATGTGTCAATGTTTTTTGATGACAGTTTTCATGCTCTCCCTCTCTCCCCCCCACAACCTGACATTCAGATGAACTCTCACTTTTCGATCAGCTGCCCAGGTTCGGTATTTGGCAGCAGGGTTCATTTAAAATGTGAGAGCAAATGGAAAGCCCCAAGCAAGAAAACCGGTGTGAGACGTTACCAGACCACTGTGAGCAACAACATGTAAGTTAGAGGGGGGGTTTGGATGTGTCCCTACATTCTATGTGTGTGTCCTGCCTGCGCAGCTATCTCCAGTGCTCTCAAGTCATCTGGTTTCATAACAAGTCCGTTCAATTCTCGCTCGGGAGGTGTGAGGTTAGTGTTTTCCGGAGAACTCTAGGAAGTCTGAAAGATGGAGCATGTCCTATGCTGAGATCGTCAGGTTGCACGATTGGAAAGCTTGGTGGATGTGATGAGATAGCTGGGTTTTTGCAGTGAGATCAAAGCAAGGCAGGCAAGTCTTGCTGCTGCTGGACAGTTATGGTGTGTCTGTTCATGAGGTGGGGGCTGTCTGACTTCCAGGCAGTGCTGAAAGAATCAGTATCTTCTTGACAAACGCTTGGCTCCCTCTTGCCTTCTGGAGGTTGCTGAGCTCACCAGAAATGTCTACTGCTGTGGATTGCTGCTGCCTCCTCACTGCTTAATTCAACCCTCTTCTCTATACGGCGTGGGAGACCTTGGCCAAATAGGTTATGAACTTAGAGGAACTTTCTGCTAAAGAAGCCGAAAAACTCCAGGTGGAAAGAGCAAAAAATCAAGTGAATAGACAGAACAGCATAATCCAGTATTCTAGCTGGGGATCCTGAGGGGTTTCCTTGGTCTTTGTGCCACATATTTCAGCCTGACCCAGTGTCCAGTTGCCCTGTATTTGGATAGACCCTGCTCTAAGGGCAGTCATGGTCCTGCTTAGAGGCTGGCTGTGGCAGTGAGGTCCATCCTGCGCTGGCACAACTCGACTGTTTCCTCCACATCCCTTCTGAGGCTCCTTCCCTCTCCAAACCTCAGTAAACACTTGAGGACTCGCTGCTGTACAGAGGTTTTGACGTGAGGTTTCTGTGGTGAGGAAATTTGGCTGTCTTTGGCCAAGTGCTCATGGTACGTATTTCTACGGTTTGCTAGAGAAATGGGTGTTGCTCGGAGTGAGATGGCTTAGCAAAATCTGCTCGGAAATGCTTTGTTTGTAGGCAGCTTTGTATCTTCTACCCCACCCATTTAATTAGTGGTTAGTGGAGGAGTATTTGTTTTTTTCCTGTGTAGCTAAAATAGCAGTTTGGTTTGTGCAGAGAGCTTTCACCTCTGGAGAGCTTGCACCTGTGCTGGTGAGATTGGAGATGTAGAAGAAACACACTGGCAATCAGGTCATCTCTCGAGTCACTGTGATCTCAGCACATAAATCCCATGCCAGGAAGGAAATCTTAAAGGTATGTTTAACCTCACTGAGGAACACTACATCAAATTAAAGCCACAAAGGTGCATACCTCACTACAGTGCTGCAGGAGACCCATCAGCACACAGGACTGGGGAAGGCAAAGTGTGAGCCTCACCGCGCTGGGCTGAGCAGCGTGAAATCACTGCCAGGGCCATGCTGCACCGTGGGCTGAGCCAGGAGGAGATCACAGAATCATAGAACAGTTTGGGTTGGAAGGGACCTTAAAGTTCACCCAGTTCCTACCCCCTGCCATGGGCAGGGACCCCTCCCACTAAACCAGGTTGCTCAAAGCCCTGTCCAACCTGGCCTTGAATTTTTCTAGGGAAGGAGTGTCTGTGACTTGTCTGAGCAACCTGTTCCAGTGCCTCACCACCCTCATAGTGAAGAATTTCTTCCTTACATCTAACCTTACCCTCTTTCACTTTGAAGCCATCACTGCATGCTACTTTTGCCTGTCGCTACATGCCCTTGTAAAAAGTCCTTCCCTGCATGCCCAGTGGCATTTGTTGCTGCTTTGATCTTTTCAAAGAAAATGTAGAAGCAGAAAAGGGAAAAAAACAACTTCCTTAAAGGTGTTTTTTGCACCCAGAGCCTCTCCTACTCCCCTTCCCTATTGTGCAGTGAGCAAAGGTGAGATCCTGCTTTTGGATTTTGGTGATGACAGAGTGGATATCTACCTGAACCTCTAGCAAGCATGGTGAGAAACTTGCATCCCCTTGGGAAGCTACCAGGGCTTTGCTCGTGTCCTGTGTAGGTGACGTGACCTGTACTGGGCAGCAGTGCAGCCTCTGCCCGGGTGGATGGAGGGCTCTGCTCAATGATTGCCTGCAGCAGGCTCTCTCCTCGAGGGGTTTCTTCCTTTTGGCATGTGTCTTGAGTAGGAGGAGCTGGCCGCGGGGGCTGTAAGGCTGCTTAGGTGGCAGCAGAGTTTGGCCCAGCACGTGCAGGCGGATAGAAGTCCAGCCTGGGGTTGGGAGGTGTGAGTGGAGGATGTGCCTGGTATGTCCCATCCAGGGAAGCTGTGGCCCGCAGCTGGTTAGTGGTTTTACCTACTTAGCTGTTTGTGGGTAAGCGCATCGGAGGGTGACACGCAATACTCTGCATTTGGAAATCCCAGTCTCTGTTGCGGCTCGTACCCCCTGGCCCTGGCTTGGACAGCAGGGAGGTGAGCTATCCCTCCTGGGGACAAACAGCAGAGCAGTTCCAGCCCCACCTGATCTCCCACCCTTTCCATTTAAGTAATTAAGATACTGAGCTCTGTGCCAATAGCACGACTTTATTTATGTTGGTTGCTTTGGAACAGCTTGCTGCCACTCTCTTTAGACAGTCCTTTACATTACAAAATTGAATAGATCTCTTATATGGAGTCCTTATTCCTGCTACCCTACTCTTTGGATTGTAGTTTTAATGCCGTTTGACTCGGATTCTTTCGCTGCACATTTTTTTCCCCAGCACAAATGATTGCAGTTTCTTCTGGCCTTGTACTGGAAGTGATGACCGTTTAGTAGCTGTTGTGTAGCATGAACGGTGCTGTGAAAAGTTGTGTAAAGCGGGCTAAATCTGCATCTGCTACTGTGATTGTGCGTTATTACCAACTAAAAAACAAGATCTTTGTGACTTATAAAAACGTCCTCCTTTTTCTGCAGTGGTTTCGCTTTGACTTTTTTTTTCTCTGATGCGCAGTAACCTCTATTTCTTTGTTACAGCTATGGGTACATAAAAACTGATCCAAGCTGGGGGACAAAAAACCCCACCCTTTACCACTGGCTGTACTTGTTTTAAGTTTTCTGGGAAAATGAAAGACAGATTTTGCAGGGGGAAGCTATTGTTTTACTCAAATCTGCATAAGGCAGAGAATTACACTGACAACCTGGATCTTTACATCAGGACATATGCTACTGTGGTTGTCTGAATCACAGCTAATTTTCATGTGTCTGAAACTTTCCCATTAGCAGAAAGTCCCTCCAGCCCATTCACACAAAAAGAAAGTGTGAAAGCTACTGAGTCCCAGGTGAACTTGAACATAGCAAGTATAAAATGTGCTGCGGGTGTGTTGCACTAACATGATGTGCATGGAAACTGAGTTTTTCCACTGGCTTCGGATTTGGACTTCGCTAGCTTGGGAGATGCTTCCTTGAATTCCTTGTTGACAAAGTAGTAACAAATAGCATCCAGGCAGCAGTTAGTGTTTGCGAGGACCGAGGCGAGGTGGACAAAATTATTAACCGTCTGGATTGCAGAGCAGTTAGAGCTGGTGGAGTCCATGACAAAACGAAGCAGATGCCCGAGATAAAGAGGTAGAAAGCACACAATGAACACAGCCATGTTTGCAGACACGATGTAGACGGCTTTCCTCATTAAGTTTTCCTCATGACAGTTTTCATTCCTCTTTCTAGTGAGTTCTGCAATGACTTCTACGGAGCAATAGCTCACGATGATCATCGGTACAAAAAACCCTACAATAATAGCGCACAGCGTGATCACTGAGGGCTTAACAGAAGATTTTTCAAAGCAAAATTCATCTTGTTCTCGGTCCTCTAACTTTTTAATGAGGGATATCACACAGATGATGACTATCCAGAGAAACCCAGAGGCAAAAGCTGCCTTCAGTGGCGACCTCAGCACCTTGGATTTCAAAGGGTACTTGATTGCAAGGTACCTGTCCGCTGCTACGACAGTGATGATACCAATGCTCATTAAGCGGTTTATGAAATAGCCACCTTCCAAAACCAGGCACCATGTACCTACCTTCATCTGATGGAACTGGGATAACGTTTTAAAAGGCAAAGTAAAGAGCAGCAAGCAGTCGGCCACAGCCAAGTTGACCATGTATACTCTGGTTTCTGTCCATTTGATAAGTTTGCAGCAGAACACCCACAGCGCCAACATGTTCAGCAAAATGCCCAAAAGAAAAACCGGAATGTAAACACACAGCTGGACAAGTGGAAAGTTTTCATAGGCTGTGATGTTGCAGCTGCTGAGGTTCATTTTGGGGATATTAAGAGGCACAGTTCCTGCAAAAGAAGATTAAACTTTTTAGAAGCTAGACTCTGGACTGAATCGGTGATTAATTCAGAGAGTTCACGGCTTTACGAACAGTGAAAACAGGAGCGTGGTGATGACTGCAGAGTTGAGCTGCCTATAGGGTACTTGGTGAGAAGGAGAGGGAGTGGGACACAAGCCTGATCAGTTGTGGAGGAGATAAAAGTGCAAATTCTCGCTGGGTCCTATGTGGGGAAGACTGCCCGTGGAGGGCAGCAGGAAAAAGTGCTTGGGCCTCTGTTTCGGGCCAGGCTGAGATCAGACAGGTGTCCTGCAGCTAGGAGTTATGTGACCTGTTAAAACCATCTGATAATGGAAAAGGGATGCCTAAACCCAGCCCTTATCCTTAAGGTAGTGCTCAGGAGAAGCCAGTTGGCATCTTCACAGCTCAAAATGCCTGGGGAGATGTGCAACAGAAGGACATCTGTCCTCTCTTTCAGTTCCGAGCTGTCTCTGCATCACTCCTCATTAGTGATAAGAGCAAATATTAATACATGCCTCATTAGTTTAACTGCCATCGAATTGTGTACTCAGCGGTAGCATTTAGTGGTCTGCTGAAGAATCGGATTGCTGGGGTCTGCAAGCTGCCTTTCAAGGATTCTGAATGTTGGCCTTCATCTCAGAAGTATTAAAGCAATCTGCCACCATTCCAAGACAAAATACTCCACCAATACCATGGCAAGAAACGTCATCAGCAGCCACATGTATTAGGGATTTGAGCTACATCTGGTGGTTTTCTCACCCCGGATCTAAGGGCAATATTGCTGTTTGCCCTTCTGCTTTTGAGGAGTTAATGCAAGGAATAATGCAGTTATTCATGAACAGAAAAGACCTGGGAGGTCTGAAATGTCTTTGGATTTTCCCTGCAAGGGGAACATGGCTGCACGAGTGCAGGTTCTGGCCCTCAAAAGCATCCCAAGTGAGCAAATGATAGGGCAGTGCTGCAGCATCTACGGCCGCAAAGCTCTCGGCTGGTTTTGAAAATCGTGCTGCTGAGGAATTATGCTAGGAAACCTCTTCTGAGGTGAGGGAAGGTGCTACAACTCACACCTGCAGCAGCTCTGTGCTTTGGACAGAGGAGTGAGACCAGAAGATAGAAGGGTAGATCATAACAGACAACAGGGAGATCTAGCAAAGGCTGAGGCAGCTCTTAAGCATCCAAAACATATTTAATGTGACCGCTATTGAAGTGAAACTTTGAAAACACACACGCTCCTGCCTGCTATCAGTTTCTCCACCGTTTTGGTGTCCCACTATATACTTGGGAAAAGGCAGTGCCTCGCAGAGCTTAAATAACCAGGTCAGCAAATAACTGGGAGGAATTACCTGCTAGCTTGCTGTCCTTGGAGAGAGTGAACGTTCCTCCAGACCACGTCTGCGGTGCGACGTGCAGGCACAACAAGCCCTTCTAGCGGTGCTCCTGGCATGTGACCAGCAAAATGTCCAGCAATGACCATTTGCTGGTGGCTTCAACAGCAGCAATGCTGGTGGAGGAAGCACACTCTGCCCCTCTTCAACGCATCTCCCCACAGCTGAGCTTCCTCTGTCGCCACCAATGTGGCTTGTACCACCCCCTGATGACTAAGGAGCCTGCGATAGCCCTGCCACAAGGTGAAATGCTCGTCTGCTGTGCGGCCCTGTGGCCGTTCATCTGGCAATGGAATGGCTCTGGGATTTTCCTTTAATTTGCTTTCCCATGCCTGATGTTTCCCTGGACAATACCCACTGACGTTCCTCACCCAGCAGGCTGTGCACATTGCTTGAAGGGGCCCCATTGCCCTCGGAGGGTCCTTGAAGTCTTCTTTCTGCCTTCTAGACTGCTGTTCCTGCTGTCACACTGCTGACCCCCAGAAAGAGCAGCCCTGGGGGCCCCCAGGCCCATTCCCAGAGCTATTGGAGAGAGGAGGGCTGTGGTTTGCAGACAGTTTTATGATTATCATAACAGGATTTCACTCTGAATCACGATAACTCTCTCATCTTCCATAGTTCTCATTAGACAGCAATTCTGAGAAAACGTGGCACCATGACCTTATGACCTGCTGACTTTGTGACTGTCTGTGGTTGCAGGGGTCCTCCTTGGCTGTCCATTGCAACCCATCAACGAGCTCAAAGGTCTCACTTGGTTAGTAGCTTGAATTACTGCCCCTGGCAAACCCATTTCCTCTTCACACTTTCCAGGCCATCTTGGAGCAGCTTCAGGAGTATTTCTGCATTGTCTGTCTGTGCATTGCAATCCAGCCTTTGAGATTAATTCCTTCCCAGTGTATAGTCAATATAGAGCTTCTGAATTTCCAGAGACTGCCTTTGCCTTTCCTGTGGCTGCTTAAAAATGGTTACTGACCTATTAGTGGTCCCAGCTTGTTGATCCCTTAATCACCATCATTTTTATGTCATGGTCTTTGTTAAGGCTGTAGTTTTCAAAGTCATCCAGCTCCTGGGTTGTGATAGTTTCACCACTATATGGAGAATATTTCACGTTGCATCATCCTCAAGAGCTGTCCACACACTCCTATTGTCTATGTCGAGGCAATTGCTACCAGTAGTAACCAGGAGCAGTCAAAATTAAGCCTGGAGGGAGCTCAGCTCATAGCATCTTCCCAGCATGATGCTTCCCATCCACAGCCTGATGCTGTGGTCACCAGACCAGGGCAGCTATGTCTCCCATCCTTCTGGTGAGACTTCGGGGGAGAGACACACCGTGTCACATAAACCATGCTGCACAAAGCAGCTGGCTGCGATCAGCAGATTCACCAGGATATGCCAGAGCAACTCAACGCCAGACCGCTAAGCAAAGCTACACAGAAATGTTATATGTGGAAAACTTACATGTCTCCTGGTGTGGTTCTTGGGTTCCTGTCTGATTCCCAGGTCAGGATCCTCAGGCTTCTGTCTACCTCAGCTCCCCATCAGCCACCCTCTAGGCTCTTGCGGCTGCTTCTGACTCCTTTCTTTGATCCAGTCACAGGTTTTGTCAGCTCTGCTCTGGACCAATGATGCTCACTTGGTATTTTCCCCTGCCTCTGCAGTTTTCGGCCTGTCTTAGCCCTGTGAATACTGTCACCACATGTGTCACCACAGCGCAGGTGGCACTTGAACTGTTTTCTCACTTTCTTGCCTGCAGCTTCTCCGGAAGGGTAAATCAGGGGCCTGTGCCACTGAGTACCTGTGCCTCGTGTGAAATGCATTAAGGCACTTCAAAGGACCTTTTACTGACACCTACGTTTACCACACCTTGGCTGGAGAAGTATTTTACTTGTTGATAGAAGGCAGTGAGGCAAAATACTCCTGTAAGGTGAAGTACCCCTGAATCACAGAATCACAGAATGTTAGGAGTTGGAAGGGACATCAAAAAATCATCTAGTCTAGCCTCCTCAAAAAAAAAGAAAAAAAAAAAAAGGAAAGAATTCTAGAGTCGCCAAAGCTGCTGGGCGGGCCCGGATTGGTTTTGCTCTGATAAATGCACGCATCCCTGGAGGTCAGTGCTCCTCGGCATGAACTTTTGCCTTTCTGTTTGTTCCCTCCCATTTATTCAGATGTTTTGTGAAAATGCATGTTTTTCAGATCTGAGCACAGTAGAATTGTTACTGACCAGACCCTTCCCTTTCTTCGCCTGTCCTGGAGAAGGGACTCTGGTGATATCTGCACCCAATCTTATTTTGTGGGCTTATTTAAAGGCCTTGTTGCTGGTGTGAGATTCTAGTCCCTTTAAAATTGTGGACTTCTTGGGTTCCCCATCCTCACTTGAAAGCTGTGACAAATTTTGTTGCTTTTATCAGCTGTGGTACTGGGCGATCTCACTTCTTCACTTGTAATTTCATAGAATCATGCAGTGAGTAGGGACATCCTTAACCAGATCAGGTTGCTCAGAACGCCATCAAGCCTGAGCTTGAATGTCTCCCGGGATGGAGCCTCAACCACCTCTTCGGGCAACCTGTTCCAATATTTCACCACTTTTATAGTAAAGAAATTCTTCCTGATATCTGGTCTACATAGGTAGATTTTGACGTCTAGGTAAGAACTTACTAAGGTCCGTTTGATCTTTATACAACTTGAACTTTGTAACTTATTTCTGTTCTGCACCATCATTTTTCCACGCTACCCTGTGGCATATGGATTCTGCAGTGCCTCTGCCCTGGGTGTTTTTCTTTTTTATTTTTTCCCCTAGTTTTCTCACAGGAAGATGTGATGTTGTAACAACAGATCTTGACCAAAACGGAACTACTCAGTCTCATTTTTAGCACGGAAAGCCTGTGAAATGGTAATGTTCGGCCAAGTGCATCACCCTCACACAGTGACCAACCCTGACTGTTGAGACTGTTTCCCCGAGACTGTTTCCCCTTTCCCTTTCCTCCACACCGCAGAGGAACTGAGCCATGGCAGATCACATGCTCGCAGGAGCCTCTGTACTACAAGCCCTCTCCATGTTCCTGCAGCACCGACACTGAAGGGATCGACCCAAGAGTCTCTGTGCCAAGAGTGGGAAGGGCACAGAAAATCTGTGCTTTGCTGTTGCTGCTGCTGGCCAGCCCAAATGCCACCAAACAGCAAAATACTGTCTTATACCAGCCCCTGCCTTCCCTACTTAGAAGGGCCAAAAAATGCTAAATCTGATATCTGCTCAGAAACAAGATTCTGGATTGCTTTTTTAAGCTTTTCATTGCATGATTAGGTTTCGTTTTGTGCGGTTTTTTTCTTTCTCTCAAGCATAAATTTTAGCAGCTGCATCAATTTGTTCATTTAAAGTTTAAGCCACTGTTAGCATTTTTTGTTTTAAGCGACTGAGAGATTATATCTTTCTGAAATGTTAGCAGAATGCAGCTGCCCAACCTGCTTGTTGGAGTTGCTGATGGACTGTGGCTGCTGCTCCACACCGTCGTTAGCCAGACCCTTGTGCAAGGAAAGATTTGTGGAAAACCGTGTCGCTGTCCTTGTGGATTGCTATTCCA